ACCAGATAAAGCTGGTAAGGCAGTTAGGACAGTGCTGCCTTAAAGGCCTTGCTTGAGGATTTGTCCTCTAAAGGAGCAAGGGGAAGTCATTAAAGGGATTTAGATGGGAAAGCAATAACCTGATTTGCACTTCAAAAAGATAACAAGTCTCACTCTGCTCTCCCCCTCATGCTCAAGCTCTGTCTCTCAAATAAATAACCTTAAAAAAAAAAAAAGATAACAAAAGTGGTAAATTTTACAATGCAAGTGGAAAGCAAAGGTATTTCTTAGTACAATTAAATTTAATCTTTATCTCAATTTTATGATGAACAGGATATCAGGTTGTTTAAGGGGCTCCTGACACTTTCTTTTAGTATTCAGTATATCGGATATAGATCTTCTATGTTTATTTGCATAAAAAATTACTTGTGAACTTTCTTCCTGCTACCCTGAGAAGTCTCTGTGAACTAAAAACATTATTTTGTATCTTCAGGCAACAAGCTTTGTGCTTGTTGGCACAAAGCAACAACTCAGATTCCCAGACTGTGCAGTTCAGCGGTTTGAGAAACAGATGTTGTTAAATGGTTAATCATTTATAAGATTGTTTTTTAAATGGATCAACTCTGAACATGAATTCATTTTTTTTTTTAAAGATTTTATTTATTTATTTGAGAGAGAGAATGAGAGACAGAGAGCACGAGAGGGAAGAGGGTCAGAGGGAGAAGCAGACTCCCCGCTGAGCAGGGAGCCCAATGTGGGACTCGATCCCAGGACTCCAGGATCATGACCTGAGCCAAAGGCAGTCGCCCAACCAACTGAGCCACCCAGGCGCCCCATGAATTCAAGTTTTAAAATGGTCAAACCCCTAGTACTTGTTATAAGTTAAAACTATTAACTAGCTATAAAGTTGATACTAACATTATGAGAGTGTTAGAATAAAAACACTGTGTATCCATGGATTCCCAATGCTACTGCTTTTCTCCTTTTTACTAGCCACAGAAGATTCAGGAGGTGGCAGTGATGACAAAAAGTCCAAAACATGTCTCATGTTATAATCTGACTGGTTGAAATTTCAAATATTGTTTCTACTTTTGAAGAAAAACAGAAGAAACAAAAGAGCTTCAGCAAACTTCATTCAGCACACCATCAACTAACAGAGTAAGAGTATCTTCAGATATGCTACCCTTATGACCACCAAAAGAAAATATACTGCTAGCCTGAAAACCCTGAGCATAAAATAAAGTTCAACAAAAATACAAAATATAAGATGAAAATAAGTGCATTTTTGGTGCCAATTTGTTTTAAACTAAAAATATGTAATCCTGAAACCAGTCACCAATTCTTTTTTTAAAGATTCTTATTAAATAGTATTCATTTGCTAGGGCTACCATAACAAAATACCAGACTGACTGGCTTAAACCACAGAAATTTATTTTCTTACAGTTCTGGAGGCTGGAAGTCCCAAGATCACGGTGTTGTCAGGGTTGGTTTCTTATGAGGCTTCTCCCCTTGGCTTGTAGATGCCCATCTTTTCTCCTACCCTCACATAGTCTTCCCTCTTGTGTATCTGTGACCTAATTTCCTCTTTTTTAAAAAAAAATATTTTATTTATTTATTTGACAGAGAGAGAGAGCACAAGCAGGGGAAATGGCAGGCAGAAGGAGATGCAGGCCTCCCGCTGAGCAGGGAGCCCGATGCGATGCGGGGCTCAATCCCAGGACTCTGGGATCATGACCTGAGCCTAAGGCAGCCACTCAACCGACTGAGCCAACCAGGAGCCCCCCTAATTTCCTCTTATAAGGACACAATCATATTGGATTAGGGCCCATTCATATGATCTCATTTTACCCTAATTAACTCTTTAAATACCCTATCTCCAAATATAGTCACATTCTGAGGTACTGGGGGGTTGAATTTCAACATGAATTTGGGGGGGGTGACATAATTCAGCCCATAACATTAATAATCGTAATTCATACCTCAAATTCCTTCCTGAACTAAAAATCTCTCATCTACACATCTTAAGAGTAAATACAGTATAGAATTTATGTCTGTAAGTACTATACACAAAACAAGTAATAGGATGTCAAATGTTATTCCATCTGAAATGCTCATCATCTCTTTTCTCTACTTTTTATCCTTGATAATGGAAGGATGAAGACCACACTGCTTTTGGCAGTTTATGTCTTTGTCCTATGCCCATCCCTCTCCACAAGTCTGAAAGCAATTATTATATGTATAACAAAGAATATTTTTTAATATTTTATTCTTTTCATTGAAAGAATAATCAGTTTATAAGACATTCCCTGGATAGTCCTAACGTAAATTAAATCAGCTAATAAATGTTATGCATTAAGAAGCATGTGATTTGATTATGCAAGAATTTTACTATCAAAAGCAGTTTAGAAGAACTTCAACAGAGGTTATTTAAAAAAAAAAAAGATCACTAGAACCATCTACCATGCATTCTAAATATTGTTTTGTCAAGAGAAACTAAGGATAGTCAACTATTACTACATGGTGGACGTTTAGACATCAGAGAAATTTAGGATTTCTTCCTTATCTACAATCACAGACCAAATAATAATAATTATGCCCTAGATTCTGCCACAGATTTTATCAAAAGGTATCTAAATTTTAATGAATCAAATTGACAAACTATGAACCTCAAATGTTTTGTTATACAGAAGATATCGTCCAATTTTAAGCAGCCAGGAAAAAAAAATCACCATTTGTTGTATGTTTACAAGTAAAAATTATAAGATTTAGAATCAGGATTGCTACTTTCACATTAGAATGTAAGGTGTGTGAGAGGAAAGATGCGCCTGGTACAAGGTAGGTTCTCAGTGAATATGAACAAATATTTTGAATAAATGTCATAACAAACAGGTATAAATGAGGAGTGCCTGTAAGTTTACAAAATATCTTTAGGGGGGACAAACTCATTCAATATATACATGCACATGAGTGTTGTCTATTAAGTCATTACCTTAAGTGATACACGTACACCTTATTTTCCATTACTTAAAATAATTTTGAAATTCCATTTTTAGGATTAATTTAGAAACTGCCTAAGAAACTCTTTCTTTAGGGGCTCCTGGGTGGCTCAGTCAGTTAAGCATCTGCCTTCGGCTCAGGTCATGATCCCAGAAAGCCCCCACCCAGCCCTGCTCAGGGGGGAGTCTGCTGCTCCCTCTGTCCCTCCCCCTGCTCATGTTCTAATACATAAATAAAATCTTAAAAAAAAAAAAAAAAACCTCTTCCTTTATTTGGACCCCAAATTATCAGCTCAAACAACTTCCCCTCCTCATTCACTAGAAAGCAAATTGAGGAGCAGAGATGTGCTGTTATTGAAGGTCTGCACAAATAGGAACTTTGCTTAAGAGCAAGCAGAAGAAAGCATTAACTTTATATCCCAAACGGTGGTCCACTGAACACTACTGACTGCACTATAGCCGAATATGAGATAGGTCTATTGGAGAATTATCCTTTAAACTCGCCATCTTGAGGCCTTTTCAAAGACTCCTTAAAAATATGACTTCAATTATGTATGAATGGATTAAGTGTTGTGATTATATATAATGACCTAAATTTACTAATGAACCTAATGTCCATAAACCATACTTTTAATACCAAATACATGGATCTATTTTAAAGGAGTCTAGCTTTTTAGTTATCATTTAATTTTACAGGAATTTTATTTTCTGATGATCACTAAACTGTGAATATATTTTTATCATAAACATGTTTTAGCTACATATATACTAATATCAGTTTGCTGCTGGACATTTCAACACTTTTTCCTTAGAAACCAAGATTCCTTTTTATTCACTATAAGTTGTGAGATTAAAAAAAATACAATTTTTTAAGAAAATAAGGGGATTTAAAAACAATGTTCAACGTTAACAAACCAATACTGATTTACTGTTTTTTGATGGTTTAGAAATGACTGCATAATTATTTCCTAGGTAGTTCCTTTGTAGCAACATCCAGCATAGTGCCTCACATATAATAGAAGCCTGATAAATATTTGAATTAATGAATAACAACTATTTACTAAAAGGAATATCTCTGATACTAACCATTTAAAAATAAGACACTAAACTACTTATTCTGCAATTTAATGCCAATCATTCCATGTTTAAATGTCCTTTAAAACAGTATATCTTAACAAAATAATTGAAATGCTATGATTGCTTTCTACAGGCCCCTCTTCACTAAATCATGCATCTTCTTAGCCATCTCTTCGCTCTTTACAAACATGGGTTAAAACCTTTTTTTAAAAAATCAACAAATCCATTTGAAAATTTGATGAAAACTATGGACCCTTTTCCCCCATAACTACACATAATCACACAAGTTTACACACAGATTCTAGGAGTGCTTAGATCTCCTAAAGCACATCCATTGACTCTGAGGGGTATGATCAGCAAAGTAAGAAGTTACATTTTATAATATATCCTGGCATATAAGTATATGCATACTTGTGTGACTGTATCTGAGAAACAATCTAACACATATTATTATTCAGTTAAATTGTCTTATTAGAGAATCCCTCTGTTGGAGAGTCAACTTTCGTGAACCTAATCTACTGTTTTAGACTTCTGGGACCTCATTTGCCGTGCCCTGCCGCTCCATGGTATTAATTTACTTTATGATGAACTTCTCACATACTGGGAAGTCAAATTTGATTATAACAAAGTCCCTTAAGTAGGATAGGTGAGAAGGAAGAGAAAGGTAAGCAAAGGAAAAAAAAAAAAAGGCAGCTAGAAACAGGTGGTAATGGGAAAGTAGGTGCTTAAAAACAGGGGTGCCAGCGTATCAAAGGAAAGGAAAGGTGAAGACATAATGAGTCTATTTTATAATTTTTGTGAGACACCAATAATTCTAATAACTTAAACTAACTGAAGCAAGGGAAGATAAATATGAATGAGTAAAAACAACAGCAAAAACCCCTACAAAATACCGGCCCAGTGGCCTCTCTGTATAGCGTACTAACTTCATCCTCCAGCAGCTACAGATGGAGCAGTCATCGACAAGCAACTGAAAAGATATGAAGGGATGGGGAAGCATGTCTCCAAAAGAACTGAAAAACTTCCAAAGCAGCTGACATCTTGAGAGTAGTTGGATTTTTATTTCTGAAGATAAACCACTCAAGCTGCAACTTGTAGATAAAATTTTTGTGAAGAGTTTCAAAGTGTACTTTCACATTAAGGAATGTGGGCTTCTCTCTTCCATCTCACAGAAATAAATCTTGAAAATAGTCATCAAATTCTTCTTCTCTATTTAAAAGAAAAGGTATACATATTGATTAAAATCAATTACAGAAAAAAAATTAGGTGACACATTACATATATAGTGATTAATGAAAATAAAATATTTTAACTCAATATAATTTCCTAATTTTTCCATATATTGATATTTTTCATGATTCAGCCATCAAATAATTCTTAGCTTTTGGAATAATGATTAACTATACCCAAATTGATTAAATTTAAAATGTTTTATATGTTGCCACCTCTCCCTAAATGTATTTATTACCCAAGATTTTACTTTAAAGTACATACTTTGTGAAATGTTACTGCTTCTCTACTTTTCTGGTTGACTTTATAATTTCTCTGTTCATTCTCATTTCAAATTATAGTCTGATCAAGAGTGAATGAAAAAGAAAACTATTTTCAGGAAAAATACAAGTCTTACTCCTAGAAATGGGGAAAATCTGTTTAGGCTATAGGTCTTTATTGCTCTGGGAATAGTAAATATATATTTGTAGCAGTAAATATCATGTCTAAAACAATGAATCAAAGTCTGAAAGAAGATACTAAATTGTATTGTAATGTGTTAAAATACTATGAAAACTGTCAAGTACTAAATAAATATTAGCACTAGGAACCAGACTGATACAGAAAAATACCACAGGGTTTCAAGTCAGACAGTGTTTAAGTTCTAGCTCTGTCACTTATTAGCTTATATGAGCAGGTTACTTAACTTCTCTGGGCTCAGTCTCCTTGTTTGTACAAAGGAGAACATTGTATTTCCTTACACGGGTGCTGTGAGGATTAAATATATACATACATACACACATACACACACACACACACACACACAGTTGCTTTTCTTCCTTCTGGGACAGGGAATCAAGCCGGAAAGTCAAATCCAGTCTACCAGTCTCTTCAGAAAAAGTTCTTTTAGATCAGAAATTCACAATGGGACTCCATTATTTGGTTTTAAATAACTGTGAATGCACAAAGCCATTATACCCATGTTCAAATTAAAAAAAAAAAACTACAGAATCAGATAAAGTTGATTTAAGAATTATCTGCAATTTGGTATTCCCCATGCTGTTGTCCCTTTTCCCCCAACATGACAGCAAAATGCAGTGAAATTTTTAAAACTGTAGTAAGAACTTAAATATAGGAAATTAACTGAATCTCTATGTAGGCTCAGATGTTCCATACTTGATCAATGTCAAGTATTTATAAGGTCACAAAAAGTTCTGGATGATAAGTCTTCTTTTTTTTTTTTTTAAGATTTTATTTATTTATTCGACAGAGAGAGAGACAGCGAGAGCAGGAACACAAGCAGGGGGAGTGGGAGAGGGAGAAGCAGGCCTCCCGCAGAGCAGGGAGCCCGATGTGGGGCTCGATCCTAGGACCCTGGGATCATGACCTGAGCCGAAGGCAGTCGCTTAATGACTGAGCCACACAGGTGCCCCTGATAAGAGTCTTCTTAGAAGGATTTACTCAAGTATCTTCACTGCCTAAAATGGTGAGCTGAACCTAAGACCTATTCTGTCAATTTCAGCTATAAAGCTCTTCAATGGGAAGTTATACCATTAAAAGTTTAGTCCATAGTTTAACTAGGATAGCAATATTTTATTTACAGTAATAACTTTTTTATAATCTGATCTATAATGACCACACTTTTAGGAATTCTTTACTGGGGCTGGAAAAAATAAGTGATCTTGTTTAAAAAACCTCTTTCCAACACACCTGAATTCTACTACACAGAGAACATACCATAATTAGCAAGATGTTTCATAATCAGCTTAATGAATTGTGATTGATTCAATATTATGAGCCAATATGCCTAAAGACTAACAAAATGGGACTAAAATTTATTGAGCCCTTATATTTGTAGGTACTGTACCAAGTGCTTTACATTCTTTATTTCATTAACTCTTCACAATAAACTCTATGCAGTAGGTATTTGTTTTATCCTCTTTTAACATATAAAGCTCAGGTGCTGAACATCCCAGTATATGACAAGAGCTGATAAAATTCCAGCCCACATCCAGACAGCTCTTCCAACCCAAGGCAGATAACAATATGCACACTGAGTTATCTGTCTTTGGGGGGTTAAGGTAGTTGTTGGCAAGTAAACTTTTACCCGTATATAGACAGCTTCAAGGGGCTCCCTGTACACGTTTATGATAATCAGAATATCAAGAATAGGCTGCTCTGGAACCAGTAAACAGCCTTTCTCTGAAGGATTCTAAGCAAAGACCAGAAGGTCACTTGTCAAGGCGAGCTGAAGAAAGATTTACTCACTGAGTGGAAGCTGGATGAGTTAGCTGTTTATGGCCACAAAAATGACTGGGAATAAACTCTGATCTTACCAGGCTAGGCAGTCCTTGGCATTAAACAGACATTCATGATGATAAGCTTTTTCATTAATTGTTATCAAGAATGGCTGTGGCTGTGGCTTCTCTACTGATGCAAAGGGTATGCATTATCTAGTAATATCAGGACTCACTGTGATTTTTCATCTGTTTCTGGTAGAGGGCCCTTCCAAAGTTCAGATTCTAAAGTACCTTCTTCTTCATCAGAATTTCCTGTTCATTTAAAAGAGATTTTTAAAAATGTATTATATTTAAAACATATTTTGAACTACCCACCAATGCAATTAAATTAACTTCAGATTTAACTGCAGTTTAGTTTCAACTTTTATGCCTCTAAAAATGTAATTCACTGTTTCAGACCAATAAATTCTTCTTAAAAATAAATAAGTAAGTTGAGATATACCATAGAGTCTCAGCAAAAAGACCAAGGAAAGTCTCATGGGAAACTCCCCTAAGTTACACTGAGTTAAAGTGGCAATTTCAGTATTAACTCTTATAAAGGAAAGATCTCTTGCAATATAATTGCCTTTGATTTAGTTTCTTCTTTCTGTTGGCATACAAAAGACATGCAGGTTAAGATTTTTTGTAGAGTATATTTACATTAGGATCAAGAACTCAAGAACTGGGGCAACTGGATGGCTCAGTCGTTAAGCGTCTGCCTTCGGCTCAGGTCATGATCCCAGGGTCCTGGGATCGAGTCCCACATCGGGCTCCCTGCTCAGTGGG